CTATCAGTAGCTTTCCTACATGTAAATGACAAACTTTCTAAGAAAGATATTAAGGAAATAACATAATTTACAATTGCCTCAAAAAAAGATAGGATACTTTGGAGTAAATCTAACCAAGGAAATGAAAGACTTTTCCAATGAAAACTTGACAGGATTTTGGAAAGGAATTGAAAGTGATACTAAAAGATGGGGAAAACTCTTATATTCATGGATTGTAAAAATGGCCATCCTTAAAAAAAGCAACTTATAGATTCAACACAATCTCCATTTTAAAAAATTTAACAGAGGGATCACATAAAAAACACAAACCAAAAGCTATAATATATACTCAAAGGACCTGCAAGGTACAAAATAGTTCTCTAACAAAGTATTATGCAACAAAGAGCCCCTAAGAATGGCATTGAGTTCATTTTGTGTTGGCCATTTATATTTTTGACATTTATATTTTATGAGAAAAAAACTATGTTCAATAAAAGAAAAATAGAAAAAAATAAATTTTAAGATTTCAACACAGTTCTCCACAGAATTTGAAATACAATCTTAAATTTAATATGGAAATACAAATGATCCAAGAAAACCAAAATAAACCTGAACAACAGAAAAATTGCTGGATGTATCTCAGATTTCAAGTGATATTACAGAACAATAGTAATAAAAACAGCATGATACTGGCATACAACCCAGCTCATTGATCAATGAAGTAGAATTATGGACCTGTATATAAACCCACACTTCTACAGCCACCTGAGCAAAGCTTAACTCCAAATGGATCAAGGGCTTTGACATAAGACCTGATATCATGACTTTTGTAGAGCATAAAGTAGGGAAAGAGTTTGAACTTAAGACACAAGAAACTGGCACAACCCCAGTTTCATAGGTATGAAGACCAACAATTGATAGATGGAACCACATGAAACTTAAAAGCTTCTTTATAACATCACTTGAGTAAAGAGGCAATCCACAGAATAGGAAAATGTCTCTACCAACTAAGTATCTCACAGAAGGTTAATATGCAGAATATACTGTTGGAAATGAGGGAAAGGATTGGCAGATTTGAAGACGTGGTTATTCAATGTCCATCAAAAAACATTTATACCCTCACTTTTCTAGATCTTAAGTAAGCAGTAGTGAATTTTCAGAAAAGACCTAATATTGAAAAGAAAACAACAAAAAATACATATAAATCCACACACTGTATCTATGGCCCTTTGTTATTCACATGGCATCCACTGTCTTAATAATGTGGTTCTAAATGTAGGGAATATAAAATCCCCATTCAAGAATAGGCTCCTCCTGAACATGTCTCTCCAGAATACATAATTTTAGAAAAACAATTATAAAAATCTTTCCATCAAAGGAGGTAATTAATTCCTGAGAGAGAAATAACAATGTCCCTGAACCTTTCTGGAACCTTTGTAACTATCTGTGCAGTGTAAAGTGGAAATATTTTGTTGCCATTTAAGTAGATTTGTCATGGGTGAGGTGGCCCATACAAAACCATAAGATTCCTGCAGACTTTTGTTTCCTGCTTAATAGGACCAGAACCACATACAACAATCAGTCTTTTATGTGTTACAAGTAAATCCATTCTGCTTCAAAATCCAGATTTTTATAAAAATGTTTTAAAGACTAAGCTAGATGGAGTAATTTTTACTTTCCAGAGTATTTTACTTTTTGATGTATTACACAGCTTTACTTTTTATAAGTGATCTACAAAAATTAATGTTTGATGTGTGTAATTTCTTAAAAACTGTTTATTTACTATTGATTCTTTCTCCACAATGTCACATCTCTAATAATGAGGCTTGCAAATAACAAAAGGAGTTTGATTTCAGATGGTATTTGTTCCCAATGCCCCTAAGCAGAATTAGGATCACCCTCTAACTACTAAAATGACTAAGGTAAGTGTTTCAATTGTGTTGATCTTATTAAACATTTCTACTTTCAATACAGTAAACATTATGTTTCAACACCTTAAATATAGTAATGAAACCTTCAATTTTCACACAGTTCTTCAAAAGATGGTTGGTAAAACATGATTAACCTAGTTTAGCAAATAAAATTTTGAGGTTTAGAAAGATTATGTAATTTGTACCATATAGCTTTCTGGCATGTTTTTGCCATGGAATATTTCCCTATCAAGAAAGACTGATCATGGGAAGCAAGAAATCATTTAAATGTACTTCCTACACATAAAAAACTATGTGTGAATGTTAAACATAGTTAATATACAAAAATTTTAGGAACGAACACAGACAATTCTTCCTGGGATTGACTGCTGTTGATGAGTTTCTGTGCCTTCTGTGAAAGTAAATTTGAAGATAATTCTTCCTGGATTACTATAGGGTTGACTCTTTAGCTCCTGTCACTGATTCTTCTCATCTTTTAGGAATGTACAGTTTATAAAAATAAACAAAAATCCCATGTGTGTCAACAGCACGGTGGTGTGCATTTTATATGCATTCTATTAATTCTTCTAATAATTTTAAAGTTGTGTTGTTATTTTTTACTTTGTAAAAAGCAGTATGAAAGATGCCAAGAAATATCACTTAGGAGAAATCAAGACTATAGTAAATATACTTATAATTCTAAGTCCAATAATCTGTGTACTGTGATAAAATATTAAACATTTCACCAAGGAATCAGGAGATAAGAGTTTGGAGGGGAATTTGAGGAGGGAAGAAATAGGACTTCAGAGAGAACAATATAAAAGAACTTATGCTTTCCAAATGTTTGGGAATTCAAAAATGTCATCATTAGCATTCACGTGCATGTGCACACATGATAATAAAATTTCTCCATGAAGCTTTGTCCTGGATAGAATAATAAATGTTTACAGTTATCCTGGTTATATTAAAAGATTACTTGCTCAGGATTATCTGATTATTATAATTATATGGAACCTAAGTTTAGAAATTAGAGGAAAAATGATTAACAAGTATAATCTGGCTATGACATTTATTAGTTGTTTGTTTTCAAAAATAATACTTAGTTGCTTTATGTATTTATTCCCTAATATGTAAAATTAAATATAAAAATTGTATTAGTATCTATTTTATTTCAGTAGCAAATGTTTGTGAAGTTTTTAAAACACTGTTATTCAAACAATTCAATTCAGATTACTTTAGTTATTATATAATTCAATTTTTAAAATTCATAGATTATGATGGTTATTGTGTAGATGTTGTAATTAGTGTCTGAAATCATTGCCTCATCTACAAACCAGATGAAATGCAATCAACCATGTGGATTGTTATACATGATGAACAAAACCATAATTGTAAAAACTTTACTACAGTGCCTTGCACAGAGAAATTATTCACTGAAAGGTGTACATTTTAACAATAATTAGGTTAATTGGATTTAGAAAATAAATGTTATGAACTGCTTCACATTCCCATTACCAATGCCTACTTACCCTTATGCCAAGTGTTCTAAATACCCTACTCACCATAGCTCCATGTCACTTCATCCAAGAGAAACACTACACCAACATTCCAGGTGTATATTCTTCAACCTGCTCCTATTGTTAATTATCTATCCCCATTTACCTTTTATAGAATAAAGAGTATTGAAAGGTATTTTTTTAAAGAAAACAAAGTTATATGTGCAGAGAAAATGGGATCTGGAAAGAGTTTGGGAGGAGCAAATATGATATACACTATTTTTTTTCCTTTTTATTAGAAAGCAAATTATTTTACAAGTCAATCCCAGGTCCCTCTCCCTCCCCTAATCCCCTGCCCCTCCAACTAATGCCCTACCTATCCCATACCCTTTCTGCTCCCCAGGGAGGGTGAGGCCTTCCATAGGGGGTCTTAAATGTCTGTCATATTCTTTGGGATAGGGCCTAGGCTAACCCCCTTATGTCTAGGCTCAGGGAGTATTGCTCCTTGTGGGATGGGCTCCCAAAGTCCATTCCTATGGTAGCAATAAGTACTGATCCACTAAAAGAGTCCCCATAGATTTCCAAGTTCTCCTCACTGACACCCACATTCAGGGGTTCTGGATCAGTCCCATGCTGGTTTCCCAGTTATCAGTCTGGGGAGCAAGAGTTTTCCCTTGTTGAGGTCAACTGTTTCTGTGGGTTTCACCAGCCTGGTCTGGACCCCTTTGCTCATCAGTCCTCCTTCTCTGCATCTGGATTTCAGTTCAGTTCAAGGTTTAGCTGTGAGTGTCTGCTTCTATTTCCACCAGCTGCTGGATGAAGGCTATAGGATGGCATATGAATTAGTCATCACTCTCATTATCAGGAGAGGGTAGTTAAGGTAGCCTCTCCTCTGTTGCTTAGATTGTTAGTTGGTGTTATCTTTGTAGCTCTCCAGACATTTCCCTAGTGCCTGATTTCCCTTTAAACTTATAATGTCTCCCTCTATTATAGTATCTCTTATCTTGCTCTGTTCTGCTCTTCCCCCAACTCAAACTCCCTGTCTCATCATGTCTTCCTCACCCCTCCTCTTCTCCCCTTCTCATTCTCCTAGTTCTCTCTCCCCTCCCACCCCCAACCCCGTGCTCCCAATTTGCTCAGGAGATTTTGTCCCCTTCTCCAGGGGACCATGTATGTCTCTCTTAGGGTCCTCCTTGTTTACCAGCCTTTCCGGCAGCCTGGGCTGCAGGCTGGCAATCCACTAAAATTTTTTAGAGAATTAATAAAATATCATTTTTAAAAATGATAAAGAGAAAATTCCATAGCTTTATGGACCTTATATCCCTCTTCGGTCTCCTGTTGCAATTTTAACTGATTCTATATATCCAATCAACTATTTCAAATTATACTCCTAGCCATGCCAAATGATGAAGTATGCACAAGTGACTTCCTGAACTGACAGAAAATATAGAAGACAATTTGAGTAATCTTCATGATCTGAGAACATTTACTTTCCTCTCAAGAAAAAGTTTTTTTTTAAAAAAAAGTCATACCTCAACATAATTGAAGTATTTGCTATTTGTTTGTATGACCAAATATATAATAATATTTTTCAGATTATATAATTTAATAACACATGAACTACATGGAAATTAGGAACAACGTGACAGAGTTCATTCTCCTGGGACTCACCAGAAACCCAAGCATGCAGAAAATTGTATTTGCTGTCTTTGTTGTCATCTACATCATCTCCATGGTAGGCAATGTGCTCATTGTGGTCACTATCACTGCCAGTCCATCATTGGGATCACCTATGTACTTTTTCTTAGCTTATCTCTCTTTCATTGATGCCTGTTATTCTTCTGTCAATACTCCTAAATTGATAATAGACTCACTACATGAAAAGAAGACCATCCTATTCAATGGATGCATGATCCAGGTCTTTGGAGAGCATTTTTTCGGAGGTGCTGAAGGCATCCTGCTTACTGTGATGGCCTATGACCGCTATGTGGCCATTTGCAAGCCCTTACACTATACAACCATCATGAGCAGAAGGGTTTGTGGCCTACTGGTAGGAGTGGTATGGGTGGGAGGTTTTCTTCATGCAACCATACAGATCCTGTTCATCTTTGGATTGCCATTCTGTGGCCCTAATGTCATAGATCACTTTATGTGTGATCTGAACCCTTTGCTCAATCTGGCCTGCACTGATACCCACATTCTCGGGCTCTTTGTTGCTGCCAATAGTGGTTTCATTTGTCTGTTAAACTTCCTCCTTCTATTGATCTCCTATGTGGTCATCCTACGTTCACTAAGAAACCACAGTGCAGAGGGGAGGTGCAAAGCCCTCTCAACCTGTGTCTCCCACATAACAGTGGTTGTCTTGTTTTTTGTGCCCTGCATTTTTGTGTACATGAGACCCTCAGCCACTTTATCTATTGATAAAGCAGTTGCTGTGTTCTACACCATGATAACTCCCTTGCTAAACCCTTTAATTTACACCTTGAGAAATGCTCAGATGAAAGATGCCATTAAGAAATTGTGTGGATGAAAAGCTATTTCTGTCAACAAGTAAATGTTTCTAAAGTTCAACATTTGAGGCAAATATCAAAAAGAGAAACATCAAATGGCATTGTATTTGAAAATAACAAAAATATGTATAAAATAAAAATTATATTCATTCATGTATTCTGCATTGGGGTTAGAAATGAGTCTAAGAAATGTGAAAAAATTAACCCAGGACTTATACCAAATTCTACCAGATTAGAAATCAGTTTCACAAGCTTCATTCAATATATGTTGATAGGATTTTCTTCACACAAAGAATAATAAACTTTAGTAGTGTTGAAGAATAATCTCTACAACATTTCCTATTGTCTCCATTTTACAGTAAAGATGCAAGAGAGAAAGAAGTTATCAAAACATATATTGATGACACATTAAGCAAATTTTGACTAATTTTCTGGACCATACTCTTAATTGTGAGGTTATGCTATCAAAGAATAATGATAATCATGTCAGACAAATAGACTGCTTATCATTTTGTAGTAAGAGACTAATATGTTATATATTTTTTCATTACTATATCTTTTTATAAATAATACTTGATGGCTGTTAATCTCCTTTACCATTTCAAAATCCAAATAGTACAGGGTTATAGCATCAATGGTTTACTATCTAATAACTAAATAGGAAATTTATCAACACCATCTTTCAAATTGTCCCTGTAAACTTTAGAAATATTTTCTATTTTCTTGTCACCTATATTACATTGATATTCCAAAAACAAGAAAAAAAACACTGTCAGTATCTGACAGAAATTTCTATTTATTAGGTATACAATTATGCCTATAAAGTGCTTACCAGCTAGAATAAAATATCTACAAATTAGTACAATGTCTAATGCATAATAAATGGAAATATTAGGAACGATGAATTCTACAACATTTAGAAGCAAAATAATGTAAGTTGGGGAATTCTTTCTTATCTTTTTAATATTAAAGTCATAGTGATAATTCTAGTTAGACTACCAACAATTTGGTTAAACTGACAACTGAGAAAGAAATTGAAATAGATTCTCAGGATATAGCAAAATTATTTGCCTTGAAATTCTCTCTATTCTCAGTAAAATATTATTACCTTTGGTTATGAGATATTTGGGTTATAATTTCCTGTTAACCATTATGATTTTTGGCAAATCTTATGAAAAACTATCAAAAATATGTGGTTTACTATAGATGCAAAGCCATATCAAAATAAAAAATTATTTATCCTCTTTGTCCCTCATTAATTTGGCAACCATTTTTTTCTAGTAATTAAAAGAAAAAGCCTGGCTAGCTCAGTCAGTAGAGCATAAAACTCTTAATCTCAGGGTCATAGATTATAACCTCATGGGTAGAAGTTTCTGTCCTGCCAGGGCCCACAGGGACAGGATCCAAATAAACACACAGAAGCTTATACTAATTTTACACCATTTGGCCTATGGCTCAGGCTCCTTATCAGCTCACTCTCTAATTATTAACCCATTTCTACTATATGTATGTGTCTCGACGTAGTCTTGTGTTACCAGAGAATGTCCAGACCTCTTTCTCCCTCAGCAGCTACATGGTGCCTCACTCCCTGTGTTTTTCTTCCCAGCTTTCTCCTAGTCTGGTAGCCCTGCCTATACTTCCTGCCTGGCTACACAAATACATTGCCAAGTGTATGTTTCAACACTGTTAATAGCCTAAAGATGAGTTCCTTGTTTGTAGCAAGTTATTTCTTCAGACACATTTAATATTCTCTCCTTTTTTATTTAGTGTTTGACAAATTGACAACAGTATGTCTTGGCATAGGTTGTTTGGAATCATTCTGTTATTTGCCCATTGAGATTCCTGGATCTTGGTTTCTATCTTTTTCTAATGTTCTAATGGACAATGGAGACTATGTTGACAATCCAAAAGCTAACAACACATTCAATAGTAAAAATGTTTTTCCTCTAAAGTCAGGAGCAAAATGGCAATGCTCACTTTCTCCAGTTATGTTCAGCATCATAAAGGAATAAGGCAAAATAAGAAATAAAAGTCATCTAAAGTAGAAAGAAAGACATTAAGTTTCCTGCTTGATGATGATCTTGTAAATTGAAAACCATGATGATACCACAAAATACCCCAAAAATCTTACAACTAATAAATTGAATATGGTTTCAGAATATAAAATCATCAAACCAAAATTTTCTATGCTAACAAATAAATATTACAAAAATGAAAATTTAAGTTCTATTTATAAAAAATTAAATATTTAGGACTGCATTTAATTGGAAAGATAAAAGCTAGAAACGTGTGTATACTGAGAATTGGAAAATATTGTTGACTTTCAAATATGACAATATACACAAATGCAAAAATATTTTATGTTCATGTAGTAGAATTAATATATCAAAATATCCACATTTTGCTAAGTAATCTAGAGATTTAATAATACAGTTACTACTAAAATGTCAATATCATTTTCACATAAATGGAAAACATCCTAAAATTTTCATGGATTTAGAAAAGATGACAGATAGTCAAAGCAACCTTAAGTAAAATGATGACTGGAAGCCCTCCACTCCTGAATTTCAGCATAACTTACAAAACTATAGTAATCAAAATGACATGTTAACAGTATTTAAATATATGTAAAGACATAAGGTGTATGAAAATGAAATTCCAAAAATAAACTCAAGTGTATAGGCTATTAATGTTTTACAAAGATGCTAAGAACACTTAATGGAAAAATAGAGTTTCTTCAATAATCATGGGGGGGCATAAATATCCACATGAAGAATAATGAAACTGAACACTTTGTTTTCTCATGAATAAAAAGAAACTCAAAATGGAAAAAAAATCTTAAATGTAAGGTCTTTAAATTGTAAATCTATATTTAACATCTTGGTGATACTGGTCACCAATTTCATTAAACTAAAAACAAACAAACAAAAAAAACCATCTCTCATACAAGAAAGGAAAAAGTTAACACAGTGAAAAGGGCAATGTATAATAATGGGAAAAATAGTTGCAAACAGTATATATGGCAACAGACCAATAACTATTATATATGAAACATTCAAACAACCCAGTATTTTAAAATAGGAAAAGGACCTGTATTTATATTCTTCAAATGACCAATAAGTTTATGTGTGTTGGGAAGATATTTAGCATCCCTCATAGTCAAAGGAATGGAAAACAGCCTTAGTGTACTGTCATCTCACACCATTTAGACAGCTGTCATCAAAAAAGACAAAAGATAGTGGGTATCTATAAAGATATGGTAGTAAAAGAACTTTTCAGAATTTTATGGGACTAGAAATTAGTAGAAAACAGTGAGGAAATTCATCACAAAAGTTAAAAATAAAATGCAGTGTCAGATTACATGTCCAAATATACATGAAAACATTGTCTCAAATTAATATCTATTACTTCATTTCTATTACACAATTATTCATAATAGTCAAGAGAGTAATCAGCCTAAGTGCTAAAAATGAATGAATAAACACTCTGGGATAGTATGTATTTGCATGCATACAATGGAATACTGTTTGGCCTTAAAGGGTAAAGGAAATTCTGTCATTTGCAATGACATAGACAAATCTAGAAGACACAATGTTAAGTGAACTAAACCAAGCTCTTTTAGATCAATACTGTGTGTTATCACTTACCTGTAGAAATTAAAATTTCATTCATGTAGGCAGAATGGAAGTTGACATTTCATCAAAAAATTAGTATCAATATAAAATATGGGACACAAGTTAATAATACTATATTGTCTTGTTTGAAATTTGCTCAGAGAACAGATCTTAAAGCTTACCAGAGAAAATATATAAGGTAGGCAGTGACCTTATCTTGATATTGGTAATCATTCATATATAATTTTACTTGACAATAATAGCCCAATAATATTTCACATAGCATTATTTTATAACACATATTTAGGTTTTTATTTTTAAATATCAATAAATGTGATTATTATCACCACAAATCCAAATTGTTATTAAATTGCAAATTGAGCAGTTTGGTTTATCTTTGATAGCTCATCGAAATGATTAGCATGAAATCAAAGTACAAAAATATGCTAGATGATCAAGAGATAGAAGCACGCAGGGTTAAAAAGTATCAAGTCAGGCTTACAAAACGAAATGGATATTAGCTGTAAAGTAAAAGATAGCCATGCTAAAAGAAGCTAAGTAACAGGGAAGACTCAAGATGTTGGGGTGGAGGGGAACACCTAAATCTCACTGTGAAAAGTAAATAGAATAGACATCAAGGTGGACAGAGGGATGAATCTCAATGGGTGGGCATGGAAACACGGAGGATCATGGGGGGATGGAGGGAGTACTGAGGAAGACAAGAATCAGGGGCATCTCAGCAATGAGCTAGAAACCTAGCACAAAGGAAACTCCCAAGAATCTATGATGATGACCCCTGGCTAAGACTCCTAGCAATGGGAGATATGGAGCCTGAATCCACCATCTCCTGTAAGCAGGCAAGACTTCCAGTGGAGGGACTGGGGTACCAACCCAGTCATACAACCCTTGACCTACAATTTGCCCTGCCTACCAAATATGTTGTAGTAAAAGTGATGCAGAAATTATAGGAGTGGTCAACCAATGACTGGTCCATCTTGAGACCCATACCATGCCTGGAGAGCCAGGACCCAGAGACTAGATAGCCCAGAGTCCTAGGACAGAACCAAACATGACTGTAAATAGTCAATGAAATGATTCCTAATGATATTCTCCTATATTCATAGACCATTGCATAGTCCAGGACTGCACAGGACCAAAGAAACAAACAACAACCAAAAAAAAAAAAAACCTTCAACATTGAAAAGAGAAAATGAACACAAATTCCTACTTCTGATCAAGAAGTTATTTGCAATTGATAAATGCTGGGAAAGGGAAAATCAGTTTCCTCCAATAAAGTATCACTGGATATATCAACTGTGTTCCAGGGTAGACCCCATACCCAGGAGTAGCTGACCAACATAAAACACACTCCCATATTGTATTTTGTTTAGTTTTGTATGCTTCCT